AGCACCCAATTCTTTCTGAAACCGGGCAGAGCCCAAACCAGTCAGACTCAAAATACAGTATTTCATGATCTGTGCCATCATTGTTAAGTGCACAACAAAACAGGACCATCGCCAGCACTGGACCAGTCAGGCCGTGGCTCAGTCCAACCCACTCAGCCTTCTAAGGACAGAGATTCCCTCCCCTCTGGTGATGTGTTCCTGGACTGCATCATGCTCCCAAGACTTTTTTCCCCCATGTCCAACCTGAATCCCCCCAGCACCAAAAGGAGGGGGATATAATCCCCCTTCAGTGCTTTTAAGAGGAAATATTCTGTAACTCAAATAAAAATCACAACAAAACAAGGTTTTGTTTGCTGGAGGAGGGGAGAAAACACTATTCATTTATCAAATGAGAGTGCTAAAAGCTTAACTACCTGTCTTTAAAAAGAAGCCAAAGCACTGATCCATAACCAACCAACAAACACACCACTTCTTCATCTTGATTTGTGTGGAGGCAAAGCTATGGGCACAAAAGGTATTCTTCTTCAAATAAAATCCATTTTAAAACTTGGCAACCGTCAGTATAAATACTTTACACTGTTAATGTAATGTAAGCACTTCCACACAGAAGTTTCATCAGCTTAACAACATATTTTAAAAAGCTGGCTTAACTTCTGTGCAAAACCACCATCAGTCTCTGTCCTGTATATCTTACAGTCCCCCAGCCACTAAATTACCACTTAGAGCTATTGGCATCAGACCCCCTCCTTGCTGGACTCACTGATTTCTCCAAGAACAATGCAGAACCCAAACTATTCTTCTGCAACTTATTTTCTTTAAAATTGGAAATAGCCACTGCTCTACATGGATTCCAAATAGAGCTGTACTGATGACAAATAATACTCTAGGCCCAGCAATTTTAATTCAAGATAAGCATCCAAAACTTTTCTTCCTGCCTTTGCATATGGGTCTAACATTCCGAAGATGCTTTTTCCCTGCAAACGAGCTCCAACAGCCTAACTCCAAGATGCACGCGCTGCCTCTCCAGTTAAAAGAAGCATCAGTAAGACCATTAACACATCTTTAAACTTTCTAAACGTGACTGCTCCTGCACCAGCATTCCTGGTTTTGCATCCCCGGTTTTCCAACCGGTCGGTACAATTAACGACAATTCCTTCACCACACGGTCTTGAGTCAGAGGTGTGCAATTTAATATTTAATTATGAACGAAGCAGCCAACCTCAAAATTAGGGCTGCCAGCTAAACTTCAGCCAGCTCCTTCCTGATGCAGCCCCAGCTTCTGACCGCTGGACCGTTGACGCTGCCTAAGCCATGGGGAGATCCCTGAGCCAGCCTACACCGATCCTCTCTGGCTGTGCTTGTCGCTGCATCCTCCCACATCAGAGGTTGTCACGTCCCTCTAAAGCTCCATCAGCTCTTCTCCGCTGCCCTCCTCTTCATACTCTGTTATGAAGAAGTGCTGGCTGTGTGTTTTGGGGAGAGCTGCCCTCCCACATGTCCGGAGAGGCTGCCAGTGCGTGGGCACAGGCACAAGGGCTCTCCTGGTGATTTCTACCGGCCTGGTGGAGAACCACATCACCCACCCTTCCCATTTGAACCACCAACACTTGTGAAATGCCGTGAGCTTAGTCAGCTCAGCGCTGTGGAAATTAGAGCTTGGAGCCAGCTTCCTTTAAAAAAACCAACCCCCTGTGTATATCAAAGACCCCGTTGAGAAATTTCTCCGTCCGTGCCCAGCAGCTCGACCACAACACTCTTCAAAACCAAGCAACTGGAGACTTCACCCATCACTGTGTCCTCTCATCACCATCACCCAGGTTTCCTTTTCAATGCATCGTGTGCTTCATGAAATGTGTCAAAACCCAAAACAACTGGCAGAACTAACTCAAATATCCCAGTTTTCTTTGTTTTCAGGAGAGATGGAGACAGAGCTGCTGGCAGGTAACACCATATGCTCTTCTCACTTCCCACCATGGGAAGAAAGCAAAGGCAATGGCTGTGAGAGCTGCTCTCCAATAATTTGGGAGTGGGAGGGGAGCGCCTTCCCACGCAGAGCTAAAGAGAAAGCAGAAGAAACCCACCCCAACAAAAGACACAACCCTTCACCACAAAACACCCAATTTCCAACTCTTTAAGATGCATGTGTTTCCCTGGAGCAGTCAAAACCCAGGCTGCGGGGCAGTTGTCAGGCACAGGTTTAATTTCTGCTCTGCAGCTCCGAGGAACGCTGTCCCGGCGTGTGGGAAGAAGGTTAATGAACGACTGAGCCGCCCTCACAACCACGTTAGTGTCACTTTCGGAAGCTGCGAGTTAATGCCCGAGATCTTCGGGGGTTACTCTCTTTGAAGTTCACTGATCCATAACCAATGTCCAATTAATTTGCAGGAGCCGAACCATAATGACTATTGGCCTTTTCCGACGCGCACAAAAACACAGTGGGTAACGGCGATGCTTTTGGCTTCGGGATGTTCCCAAATGTGCCTGCACGTCTGCACACCTTCGGAACACCCAACCCTAATCACGGGCTCTCTTTCTGCCCTTTGAGGAATTTTTTTGCATTTGCTCTCCCGAGAGCAGAGCTACTGCATCAAGATTTATGAACTTTCTGCTGCTGCTGCAAAAAAAATAAAATTTGGAGCTGATTCAAGATGCTCATTTGCTAACAGGGAAATACTTCTACTGCATTTGCTTAGATTCCTCTTTATTTAGGGTTTCCATGGAAGCCAAGGAATAGAAGTTCAGTCTTGGGAAGATTAAACAGGCCCTGAGATATAATGCAAAACAGCTTATTTCAACATTCCCCAAAGAACAGAAATGAGAAATTCTTCCACACATATGCCAAAAAAAAAAAAAAGGAGGTTTGTGGAAATTTTCAAAATAAATTGGGACCCAGCTTTTAAAATGCTGCACACAACCATCACTTCCTGCTGCAAGAAGCTCCACCAGCTTCCAGCACAGTTCCTCAGGTGAGAAAGTAAATGAACAAGAAGTCTGCAGGATAGAGAAGCTACAGCTTAGAAATGAGCTTATTCAAGGCAACTATTGCTATACAACATCCGAGAAGAAGGTTAATTCAACCACAAGGTCTTGCACAAAGAGGAACAATCACCTCATAAATTAGTATCTCAGCAGTTTTTAGAATAAAAAAGGCAGAGATTATGCAGTTCAGCAGCACCTTCCATGGCGACGCTCTGGATGCTACTGGAGCTGACAGACCAACATTTAAAAAATAAAATAAATCCCTTATCTTCAGCTATTCCAAGCTGAGAAGTGCTCCTGCTCTGGTGAGAATGGTAAACATTTCCTTGCCTCCCTACCCCACAGGTCAGCAGAGTGTCAGTAGCCACAATGACAGGCTGTCCGACTCTACAAATTAATAGCCACACATTTTCTCTGACCTCCATCCCCCAGGTAAAGATTTATGTTTTGTGTTATTCCAATCTGGTATGAAAATGCCCAGGACCAATGAACTCTACTCCAAAACACTTTTATTTCACAGCACCTTCCTTAAACCATTTTACAATCTGGCACAGATAATGGTAAGGGGTAAAGTGCACTTTTTGCCTTAAGTTGGAGCTAAAATCCTGTGGCATGCAGGATTTGCTACCTGGTGTAATAAGGAAACTAAACACTGCTGACTCTCAAGTAAGTTATTTTCAATATTAACACCATTACTGCTTAAATAAAAAGATACTTAAGTCGTAGCCTTTTCTAATCCTTCATTTATGGTGAGCACCCAACCACTCAGTGAAAATGCACTTCACTACATGCTGAAGTTTTTATTAACTCCATGGGAAAGTCCCAAGACACCGGGATATTTTTTTTCTGACTCCTGATTAAAACAGCGGGAGTCCGCGTGAATTCCCTTCTTTTTTTTTTTTTTAATTCTCCCCCTCCCAAAGAGTTTCACATGTAACAAACCCTCCTCAAAATCTGTAAGGAAACAAGAACCAAGCCAGCTGAAAGGCACCGAGACCTCGCGCAGGGCGGGATGCGCTTCCAGCTGCCCGCCTAAAGGGATGGCCGGGGGAGATTAAACACAGAAATGCTTTTCATAAGGCAGGAGGCTTTGAAGAGGACACTTCAGCTACTTCATTTCATAATCTTCACAAAGCGTCAGATTTTAGCCTAAGCAGGTCTTAAAACAAGGAGATTTTATTTAAAAAAGGGAAAAAAAAAAAAGAAAGTAGGAATGTGTTCTGGCCGGGTTCTGTTGATTCAGCAAGGGTTAGACACACACACGCTTATTGATCCCAGAGAGCTCCCTGCTAAGTTAATTGTCTGGAATTTTAACTGAGCTCTCAGCAAGTTTCAAAATCCATGTTGGCTGGAAGTGGGTGGGGGACCCAGAAAAAAAAATAGGCTGCAAAACTGCAAGTCCTCTAGTTGAAAAAAAACACCAATTACTTTCATGAAGGGAAAAAAGCTGCAGCAGGGAATGGTTTTAACCGGATTTGGGGATTCTGTGTTTGACACCACTATAATTCAGTGCTGGGAATCTCATTTGCAAAGCAGTACCATTAGCAGGGAGCACCGTGAATGCACTGTGAACTCCCATCCACGGTACCAAGGGATCTCCTTCGAGCTCATGACAACAATTTCTACACAGAGCAGTGTTACCACCAGCTGTACCTGTCCACATTACAGTACCTGAGCACTGACCTTCTGCTTGTGCAGGTAAGGGCTCAGCTGCCTGTTTGTGCATGGGGGCTGCCCATGGCTCTGCACTACCTGCCTCCAGCCCACATCCAGCAGCAGTTCCTCCAGGTGAGGAAAGTGCTGCAGGGCTGATCTGGCGCAACCAGACAGGAACAGCCAGAGACACCTTTAAAACAACCTGCGACTACTTTCAAACAAAGCTTTGCACACCATCGAACCACCCGGCAACGCCAACCCGCACCGATGCGGATGCTCCCCACCACCACTGGTCCTCCAAAGCTTCCCACCACCCCCACGGTGGCTCCCCAGTCCGTTCACGAGCTGCCCCGGCGCTCACCCACCTGAACTCCCTGCCCTCGCTGTAGCGCCGAGCCGAGGCCGCGCGTTGCGTGGCCGTCTCCAGGAGCAGCTTCTGCGTGAGCCTGCTGGAAGGCGCCGAGTCCCGGCTGGCCTCGGGCTTGGCCTCTTGGTCACACTTCCACTCCTCGTCCTCGTTCAGAGTCGGCAGATAACCAGGTAGTCCTTTACCTGTCCCAGACCCTGAGCTCGGATCGCTATAAATTTTTGGACTTTCCCCACCTGTCCTTGTGTACTCCAAATAAATATCTGACTTAAGGAACAAAGGGTAGGTATTGTCTTCTATCATGCACTGAATCTCCGTTTGGGCCTGGTCAAACATGTCGGGGTCAATCTGCAGTTTCACGACACAGTCTTTGATGAAGCTCTTTGTGGCTGGTTTGATCTGCCGGGACACAATGCCATTGTTGTCGAGGATGTATTTTTTGTAAATGGCTTTTGCCAGCTTGAGTCTTTTTTCCTCGTTAGACACACACGGCTCCAGCTTCCTGAAGCCGCTGCAGGCAAACCAGAAGTCCAGCAGATCTGCACAGTCCTCCTGTTTCAGGAAAGTCCTGAAGAGGTTGATTCCATCTTGATCATCCAGCAAGGAGTGCAGCGACTCGGCCCACTTCAGGTAGGGTGGAGTTGGCGAAGCACTCCCCTCGGGCTCGTACCCCAAATCCAAATCGGAGCGCCTCGGTGTTGCTGTGGACATCTCATTTCTAACCACGTCACTTTTACCGGAGTAGAAACCATGGCTAACTGGCCTTGGATCCGTGGACACGAGTTCCCCCTCCTCACCAGGAACTGGTGGTCTTGGAGCATCTTCAGTGAAGCTTCCTCCGAGGTCCAAGGGGAAGCCTTTCCCCTGGATATTCATTTTTCTGGTCCTTGCTTGCGCGGGAGCAGCGGGGGACGAGCTCAAATCTCAAATCACCACTATTTGTAGCTCCAAGGTAAACAAGTTTGTTTGGCTGAAACAGAGGAGAAAAAAATAAGCGAGTATCACTGGAAATAAACACTTTAAGATTACAAACCACTGCACCATTCCTGTACTAACACCTCTTTTTTTTCAGCAGAATCAACAGCAAAGCTCTTGGAGACTTCCAAGAGCGCAGAACTGGGCTCGAACCAGGCACAGGCTAAAAATGACAGTTACAGAACATCCAAAACCGTACATCCAGAACTCAGCATCAGTGATACAGCTGATGCTCCTCTAAAACATAATCCCATTACCCAAGACCGGTGGTTTTACCAGACCCTGGTATGTGGCAGTCCCCACATCCAAGAGATCCATACTCAGGTATCACACAGCACACGCACCAGGTGATACTGAGGCAACACAGCTTTTATCTCGCTGTAAATCTAGGAAATTCTCATCCCGAACAGGAATTTAAGGCTTGTGAAAATTATTTGGAAAGAATACCCAGCTAGTCCTGGAAGCAGGACTGCACCTTAATCAAACACAGGTGGCTTTCCTACGCTCAAGTGACATACCAGCACCACATTCCTCACAAATCTCTGCGTTTCAGAAATACGCGGCGTCGCCTCCTCGACTAGCTCTAGGGGAATCCAGATGCATCGCTGACCCTAATATTTTGGGCATCTGGACTGCATTCTTGCTTCAGATGGGCATGTTAGCACAGGAGCTCAGTTCTGGCACTGCTTTTTGTAGGCAAGCCGTTGAGAAAAGGTTCATTTAACGCCAACAAAATTGCACGCTACGAGCCTGGGAAAATTTCAGGTCATCAAAGGAAGATGAGAAAACCACCTTGAGAAGGAAACCCGATCAAGTACGAGGTTTTTAAAGAAAAGCAACGAGTCAATATGGAGGATGGGAGGTGTGGGGAAGAAGAGGAAGGCAGGGAAGGGTAATCCCTGGGTTGCTACTTCTGCTGCTCGACAAGGTAACTTCATCATTTAAAGGCAGTAGCAAAATTCTTGTCCTACAGAACAGCCGAAGCCCCAAGTACTGCAGAGCACCAGCTGCCTGACAAATTAATACTCCTTGTGCTGGATTAACTCAATTGCATGTGAAAACACACCAGGAAAGACACATTTTAGCTCGCCCTCCCTCTCAAAGCTCACCCCACCTCAAGCAACA